GCTGCTTCCATAAATATGGACATGCTGGTCGCCTGGGGGAAACACCTTACTGCCTTCACACTCCTGTCGCAGAGGGCAGTACGACTTTACCCCCAGACCGCCTCGTAGCATGATTATTCGTAGTACGGGGTCTCGCTGCTCTTGGTCTGGCTGCTCCCCTTTGGCTTTCCTGGCATGGTTGTACCTTGTGGAACGAAGTTCGAGCCAGTGTAGCCCGCGGGATCATTGCAGCACTGAAGCCCGACCACCACGTCAAGGTGGCAGCTTTAGGTCAGTGCCAAAACGATCAATGACAATCCATTGACAATTAAAATATCGCACATCGGTGGGTCCGACATACACTATTTCAAATAATTATCTAAGCAAGTCCGAAATCACCCGGACAAATAGCCCCAATTAGGCATGCCAGTAGACAAGTGTTGGAAGAACGATATCGACAAACTGTATATTCAATCTATATGGAACAGGTCTGTTAAATTGGCTCGAAATCAATGAGTGAATAAATGGCTTTCAATCCTCAGTTTCATTCGATAACCATGCTGCATCCAGTGCAACCAGGCTTCCAGGTTCGCAGGATTCATCCAGTATTCGGTTGAAGACGCCCCCCCCCCCAAGATATGGCTGGAAATAGACATTTACAACCTGCTCACGGTCAATTTCCACTTAGATTGTCATAAAATCGTTCAGCTGTAGCACCCTTTAGATGCTTAGCTGCCATGCTACGCAGAATTTGCATGATGGCCGGGATATTGCCAGGTTGCCCAAGTCTAGACAGGGGAAATCGAGAGGCAGAGGTCGGGTTCGAACCATGGACCTTCCGGTCAGTAAACTAGCGTTCTAACCATTTGGGCCATCTCGCCCCAGATTGTCATAATAAATATCTGGAAGTGTTTTGTTTGTATTAGACAGACACTGGGTTCGTTCCATTTCTCTTTTTGTTCCAACTTATAGCAAATAAATAAACAAGCAGAAATATAAAAATTATAGTAGGGGCGGTGAAGCATCGGGGTCTAACACCACTTTGCTGTCAGTGACGATCCATCCGCCAAGTGTCCACAAGTGATTTACTGGGACCGAACGTGTTTTTTGCTTTCCGGCTCACTATGGACTGTGCCGTTTGAAAGTCACTAACTTCTGCATATGGGCAATGTGTTCATACACACACACAGACTGATTTTAAAGCTTTGACCTTGAATATGAGTAGCATAGCCATGTCATCGCTTTGTTATAAACTACTGAGGTGCAACCTCTGGATTGTTTAACGACACACTTTTGAGAGACACGTTGTCTGGCGAGTACAGACACCCTATGCTGAGAAAAACTCCTCCTAAGAGTGGCCGATTCGGAGAAGAGTTCAACTTACCCAGCCTCCACCGGATTCCACATACAAGGAGCCTACAATCCCATAGGTAACAATTTTCTTCTCTCTAAAAGGCTAGGTTCCCGCAACCTATTGGAAAACACGGCACAAGGGCCGCATGGCGATTTTGACTGATGTGGACTTAGGACACAGGCCTAGGGCGTCGTTGGCTTTGTACTGCCTAAAAACTGATTTAACTGTTAGGCCTAGGCCCAAATTGTAGACCAGAGCGTCCTACTGGAGTTCCTCCATTCCAAAGGCACCTTCATGGATGCCAGCAATCATGCTACGATTGGTTACCGCAAAATATTCATTCATGCATTTTATGCTAATACGGACAAGTAACCCTTCTTTTCTACCATTGTAGAGCCATACTCTACGATTCTTGAGAAAATCAGCACTGTTTGTGCCGCAAAATGTTGATAATACATCACTGAAACGATTTGTGCCTAAAACGGGGGCTAATACCCGGTAGCTTTGTTTGTCACTCGTCCATATCAGCAGTTCTACACTAGATTGCCTCCACTAAGATATACCTGGAAGCTTTTGGAAACGAGGCCATGACAGGCAATAAATCACAAATGACGTTGCTGAATGAAATTCAATACGTCTAACGACGATTAGAATGATATATTTAACCCAAGCCCCCGTATTTTTGTTCAAGAAGGCAAACTCGGTTGGAAACTTCCTAGTATTTTTCCACAACTACACTAATTTGCATGCCAATTTGGTTTCCACGGGAGATTCAGCTGAATCTCTCGTTTACGATGTTCTCCAACTGAATGTGCTGCACAAAGGCCGCTTCATTTTACAGTTGGTAAGATATTCGAGATATCGCAGTATCTTTTCATTAAAAGAGATTACCCACAAGGTTGCTGAAAACTCTTCGACAGCCCACAACTGATTTCGCACTTTTTTGGACTCAGGGGATAGGCGCGCTTCCCGAGTTTCTGTCAGATTCGTTTCGAAAAATCAGCTACGGAATTTTTCAACTTTTCGTCTAATCCTTTGATAATCTAGCGCGTTGAAGCTGGATCCTAACCATCACCCCAAAATGGGATGCATCCATATGAGAAGTAAAAAAAGACTGCCGTACTGACGACAACCCCTTTTTGGAAGACTACAAACTGTAATGTACTAGCTGTGATGAAATCAGATTTTATCGCAATTAACAGCGTCAATCTTTCAAACCCTGAAAGAATTGGAACATTCGCACAAGGATCATTCAGCGTCTAGGTTGAAGAGCAATGTTCCGAATTTCTCCATTACGGAACCATCACTTTTTCTTTCATTAGGGTGATCAAGGATGTCATCGCCAAATTTATATCCCTTACGAGGGCGCCGTGTGCGAAATCCTATGGACGGATACAGGACATGTTTCTGTCTGAGTTCACCAGGTCCAGTGGGGTAAGAGGGGGGTGTCCCCACTCACCTTTCCACTTCAACTTAGCTATTGATGTGATGCTTGAAATTCATGTCTGCCTCTGAAACCTCAAGGGTCGAAATGCTCCCGAGACGTTCGATCACAGACTTTGAGTATGCGGACGATATTTCTATCCTGGGTTCAGATTTTTTGAGAATGCAAGCAATTTTAAATAGCTTTGATAGGTCTGCCGCACATTTTGGCATGCCCTTCACACATGCAAAGTGTAAGCCGCTGCCACAAGGCTGGGTAGGGTCAAACCCAAACCTCGTGCTTGAGCCCGTCGACGTAGCAGATAAATTTGTTCACCTGGGCAGTTGTATACGTTCCGGTGGACTGGGTGGAGGTGAGAATAGTTATCGAATCGGAAAGGCCAAGGCAGCTTTTGCCAACATCCGACACCTACGGCACCGACGTGGCGTCAGTTTGTCTGCCAAGGGAAGAGTTGACACTGCAACAGTGCGTTCGATACTACTCTATAGATCACTCTATAGATTACTCTATAGACGTGACCTCTACGCGCGGATGATAGGCGAAATGTCAATGTTTGACCATTGATGTCTCTAAACCAATGATCGGATCTGTTGCGAACATCGGATTGCTAATGCTGAGGTACGTCAGATGGTCTTAGGAAGATGAATTACCCACGCTTCCTAGGTTATGCTGGTTAGGACATGCACTCCACAAGCCAGAAGACTGTCTGTCTCGCAAGATGGGGCGAGATGGCTCAGTGGTTAGAGCGCGAATTTACTGATAGGAAGGTCCGTGGTTCGAACCGGACATTTGCCTCTTGAATTCCTCTGTTTAGGCTCGGGCAACCTGGCAGTGTCCCACCGCTCGTGCTTCTTTCGGATGCCATGGGACTAAGGTACCGAAAGGGTGCTACAGCTGAACGCTTTCTTTTCTGCCTCACAAATCTCTTTTCTCTCAGACCGGTACTGAATGGAAAAGACTGAGAGATGGACAGCGTATGACCTGGCAACGAAGTGTGAAAATACTAACCGGCAGACTTAGTCGGATCGGCAAACGGTGACCCCATGGATGGGGCCCCAGGACACAAATTACCAATGGTTACTAACGCTGGCGGAAATTATCCAATCGAGCAGTCAGTGGCGGTCGTGCATCAGAATAATCGCTTACAATACGTAGCTACCCAGTTCGCGAACTAACTAAAAATACCATCGCCTCCAAGGCTTGGCTGTGTCCCACGCTCTCCCACTTTCAGGTGATCGTAACTTTTGCAGCTAGAAAACATGTACCCATGGTACATGGTTTGCAGCTGATAAATTGATTGGATGATTGGCTGACTGACTGACTGACAGATTTGATTGATTGACTGCCTGGCTGGCTGGAGCGATCGTAGCATATCGTACTTGTTTACGACTTTCACAGCTTACCAAATACTCATTAGTAAGTACGTTCATGTCCCCGCCACTCCATCCAACGGCCCTTACAGGTGATGAAGGCCTTTATTACTTCGATAATAACCCAAGGGGCTTCTGCAAGTGCAGTAAAAACACCTGAATACTCTAAAAGCAACCCATTCTACAGAATACTGCCCCCTAGCAATTGTTCAGCTGCGCCCGACCATTATTCTTTTAATGCAGATTGCCGTAAGGCAGTAGAATACCCCATCTAATTAAAGTTGTACCAAATAACATGAAAGTCAAAGTATTCATCAGATTACATATGTATCTGATCAAGCATATGAAACGGCACAGAGTATTTACTAGTATGGCTCTTTGTCACAAACTTATGAACAAGTGGTTCCAGGTCAACATAATCATCATCGACAGCATAACCAATGCTAAATACCGGTGCTTCGTACAACCATGAACATTTCGTTAAAAGCCCCGTAGCGCACCTAGCACCGGATCTCCGGTGGCCATTTCAACAGGATTGAAAAAGTGAAACATCCCTAGGTAGGTCTTGATAGGGATATCGAGACCCCATTGCGGAAACCTCAACTCTTCATAACCGCTCAACTCTTCACGTCCCTCTATCAGGTTGCACATTATCCTCGCATTCTTCCCGACGGTCAAAATGCAGCGCGCAAAACAATATATCTCAGTAGGTGGTAACTCGACACGCGTGGCCCCTGATGAAGCCACCTTAGATGGCGGCTGGAGGATGACTCAAATGAGGTTCGTATCAGAAGAATTTGGACAGCACCCGTGTATCAGAGCTGATCATTATACAGGCTTTCAAGACCGTGGACAGCTTCGCTTGCTTGTCGTGTAACGCGAGGTGAGTATTGATCCGTTACTGTAGAGTGGAGTACCGCCAAATTAAAGACTACAAAGAACTAGCATTGGTCATCAGTAGCGCGGTGGTCCAGTCATATAGGTCACTGAGAATCATACCAACAAGTCGATACTGGAAACGTTAACAGGCTGAGGTGCCTTCACTACAGAGTTTAGGGCAGGCAGCTATGTGCGTAACATAGCAAGGTGGACTTACCTGACTCCAATATTCAACAGCTCCAGAAAATGGCGACGTTGAATCAGTCCCACGATCACTATGCTACCAATAATCGTCAGTGATATAACGGACAAATGTTTCCCGAGCCGATCCATGTTTTTCTGCAACGGTGTACGAGGTGCCTGGGGGAGTTGAAAGAGAGAAAATGGAAAAAGTAACGAGTTGCCGGGAAAGCAAAGAAAGAACAAAAACAATGGTTGATTGTCAATAAGAGTTCGGTTCGACCCTCACGTTGCTACAACACCAGCATGAAATGAATGCATGCTTTTTCAGTCAGAAGGTAAAATTTAGAGTCAGCTCTAAATCAAGCCACGTTGGAATGCATCACGGACGGACTAGTGAGAAAGTTCTCAGAGCCTTCGCGTTGAAATTCAGTTGATCGTACGGGCATCATTATCAAAGGTGGAAACATCGATTTTGATACTGATGCTTCACTGCCATACAACCAAAAAAGTTTATCCAATTACATTTGTAGTCTGAGGATGAAAACAAGACAAAAGAGTGGGTGAGGGAGGGGATCTGGTGCTGGTCTACGCGGGAATTCTGATAAGTCCACACCCCCAAACAGTCAATCAGACAAGCTGGGAAAAAACTGACAACAAAAATGCCACTGACATCGACCAGCCACCAATTCTTGCACTGTGTCTAGCTAACCGCAGGAAGGGACACGATGACTCCATCCTGAAGGGGACCGCATCAGCAACTCCCAAGCTCTTCGCAATCTTACAACCCTTCTGCCAAGTCACACATGTCCACCTCGTTGTTTGCACCATTCCGATGGAGGCATGGAGAACAACACTTGTCCCGATAGACGATGATGCGGTATGCGTAACACATTGCCGAGCCACCGTAGTTGATGGAGATGGATGTTGCTCACGAATGAAGTACCTGTCACACAACGAAGTACCGTTTTGCAACTACCTTGTTACGAGTTCGTAGACGTCATCCGATATCAGCAAAGCTTCTGAATCATCGGTGGTAACAAATCTGAAGACGCCTCACATCCTTTGTCCGCAGAGGCCCTAACTGTAGCCTAATACAGGTGACCCTTGAGGCCAACTGACTTGCAGTTTTGAGGCCAGTGTGATTCGGGCCTTTGATATTTGTGCGCTGACTTCATTAGACACACTTCAGCCAGGGCTAAGACAACTACCGAGGTATACAAAACCCTCAAAAACCTCCAAGGGTTCTCCTTGAATTGTAAGGAGAAAGTTCGGAGACTGCACGTTCCAAAGCATAATTTCGCACTCTGAGGCTGCAACCTGCATGTCGAAAGACCGTATGACGTTGGTCAGTGTATTCACTTGGGTTTGTCCTTCAAATATAGGGACGATATCATCTGCGTACTCCAGATCGTCAAGATTCTCACCAACAACGATTTAAACGCCAAGGTTTTGAAGACCTTCCAAAAAACATGCGTTCTGAATTTGAGCGAACGGGTTACAGGGGAATGTCGCAGTGAGCAGTTCATATGGCTCAACTCATCCATATTTTTATAGCAAAGTTATAGACCCAAGTTTATGATAGCATTTCGAGTGCATTTTGTTACAAGCGACATATAGATGACTTCTGGATTTTGGCCGCTAAACTTTACTTTTTTTAATAGTCCAAATAATACTCACACCAATAGACCGATATATGCCATACACCAATCTGAATTCCAAGGGAAAGTCAACTGGAATCCAGTCGAATCCCTCGTTAACGATGTATTTGTTCAACTAGAGCACCAGGTTGCTTTATTTTGCAGCTGGTACGATGTTCGAGTGTCAGAAATAGTACATAAGCTAAACGGAAACACGGGGACTGCGCCCACCTGATGAGCCCCCAGAAGGGTGAAACCGGTCATGAGCTGTCGAAGTTTTCAGTAAACGTATGGGTAGTGTGTTTATCCCAGTTTTTTCCCGTGAAGGATGGGTACGATGGTGATTTAGCTTTCTTGACACACAAACTAGCCGGCGTCCTGAGAGGAGTTTGCAATGGTGTTACGTGGAGGAGGTAGTATCCTCAGAAATTAGTCTCCGATGGTTTACAACCCAGGTTTGATGAAAACTATGATTACAGGGTCAAGGTTATTCTTTCAACTGAGAACTCAAATAACCAACGACTGTCTATAAAATTTCATTGCACTCTACTTGACCAGACCCCCACAACTAGGGAAATTGTAATGTAACTACAGTTGAACGGCGACACAGATTGGACAAAATCAAACGGAAATTTCAGTTTGCTCCAAATCACAGAGCGGCCTTATAGTATCTGGTCTGGACAACCCCAAGGTCACAGACTATGAGTGATAATTCTGCTTCGTATGCCATTTGAAGTAACAGTGATACTTATATCGATGGATGGCGAGATGGTCCAATTTGTTACAGCGCGAATTTACGGACCGGAGCGTTCGTGGTTCAAACTCGACCTCTGCCTCTCGACTTCCCCTGTCTAGGCTTGGGCAACCTGGCAGTATCCCAGCCCTCGGGCAACCTTCGGGTGGCATGGCAGTTAGGCGCTGAAAGAGTGTTACACCTGAACGATATTGACGCCTCNAAAGAGTGTTACACCTGAACGATATCGACGCAATTAATCGACCCCTCTGCTAAAGGATTTCGCAAAATCTTACAACTCAAACGAAATAGGCCTCCTGACATAACCCGCGAACACCGCACGCGGCCAGTGACCGATTGGAAAAAGTGCCTTTGATGCAGGCCAACTGGTCAGACCTGCTTATGCTTTCCCCACCATCTACCGCAACCGAAACGAGGGAACGGATAGTATACTGTAGGGCGATATTGATGAGAACAAAGCGACCCAAATGGTGCCAGCAGAAATAGTTGATTCAAGTTGTCAAACTGCCCAGAAACCATCTCCTCCCATAGAGCAACGTGTCAGTTGATGCCCAAATTTTTTAAATCTGCGAATTAAGAAAGTGACTTGAAATGTCAACAACTTACAACTTATGTTTCCTAGTCGTTTCAAGGAAAAGTTTCAAACAGGACACTGTGATTTTTGCGTGATGCTCAGTTTCAAATTCTTTCTTTTCAAATTCTTTCAAAGCAACGCAGATGCCTATGGGGACCATTGAGGTGTAGGAGCGGATGATCAAGTTCTATTTTGCCAGGGGCACTTTCTAACCGGGTGACGAATCTCACTCGAGTTTTCACGTCCATTTTCAAGGCTTTAAAAACCCAGATCATATTCCAGTGGTTTCAAAAGACCTATCAATGAGTGCCTGAGTGAGAGGTGAGCAGCAACCAGCAAAATCAATAGTACACTCGGTAGGTGACTTATCGCTTGAAACAATATCGAATCGCGTGAATTCTCATCTCTTTCCTTGTTGCCATTCAGTTCAATTCTGCTTTAATTTAGTACGTTAAATATGCATCTCAGGGCGCATAGAGCCCTCCTTGACTTTAATCAAACACATCAAACAGGTTGTGTTGGATAGCAAACTGCTACCAAACACAACCAATCTGACTGCATGTCGAATTCAGTGGCTGGGATTCATCTTAATCAGATAAGACGAACCGAACACTGATTACGACAGTAGGTAGAGCTGTGCCCTGTTCCAAGGTACCGACCTAGCAACGAAAAACAAAGAAACGTGCACGGGATATTCGATCTGCGTTACTTACCTCTTCTGACTGCATCATACGAAACACTTCACCGAATTCAGAGTGCTCACCGGTCGCGATGACAACACCTTTGGCAGTCCCGCAACAAACCAGGGTGCCCATGAACGCAATGTTGGTCAGATCATGGCAACCACGAAGACGGTTCAAAGCATCTGTGGTCGGGCTATTGGCAGTATAATCGCTGTTGATAGTGATTGACGTCAGGAGAGGTTCTTCCGGACAGAAAGAATCAACGGGAGGTTCTTAGCGCCAAGTGTCAGGGCACAATAACCGAATGTGGCAGTGTTATAACGAGAAAGCCATGAATAACTGAGGAAGACACACCACGGGGAGTCAGAAAGACGAACAGCAAAAGATGTCCTACAAGAACACGTAAACATAATTCAACCATGTCCTCCAGATATGAAGTTTCTTAACCGGTTTCTTAATCAGTTTGGTTCGGCGGTGAGGGACTACAGGTGGGTCAGACAACTAGACGCTTCTAAGCGTGATGGAAGAACAGAATTTGGCGGATTGTTTGCTGTGACAGTGGCGAGAGCAAAGCTAAAACAAGCTGAACAGTACTGTTTGCTCGTTATCCAGTTGCTGGTCTTTGTATGTGTTTTATCGTGCCATACAATCCTACAATCGTACATACTGTTGATGGTATACCTACGAATGGAACGTTCCTTTATTTTCCCTGTATTCTTTACATCCTTCCACACCTATCACTCGCATCTTTGTGCTTTTCAAAAATAAAGGTCATTGTGGAGGACCGATCGAACAAAGGGATCCGACAGGACATAAGTAACTTTTCATCAAAACTAAAAGATGTGTAAATGGCCCCACCCTGAACCGAAATCCGAAATCGTTCAGCTGTAGCACCCTTTTGGTGCCATGCAAGAGGCCTTGGATACTGTCAGGTTGCCCAAGCCTAGGCGGGGGGAGTCGAGAGGCAGAACACTACTGTATTATTCCACAAAGGGGTGTCCCTGAGTCTTGCCCAAAGATGAGGGACAGAGAGGAGAAATCTACGAGAGCGCAAACGAGAACTAAGTTTTTGCGGGGAACGGGTCGCAGTTAACCTGGCCTACCCGGACTAATTGAGTATGTCTTGCAAGGACAGACCAAGGGTGACTATGGGGTGACTATGAGCACTAGATCGGTGTCAACAAAGAATAAGGATGGTGCACAGAAAGAGGACTGAATGTCGGTGCGTTCTACGAGCCCCTGTTATGGGCGTTACTAAGATCGGTTGGCTGATGGTATGTACGCGGTAATTACAAAACCGAGATGACCTATGAGGACAACAAGAATTCAAGATAGGGAAGGTTACGTCGACTGTAGAACTTTGAATGTAATCAGGAACATAAAAATGATCACTCTAAATGGAAGGAGTGACAGGAGGAGAAGGGACCAATAATTAGTCATCGCGGATATTCAAGTAGGGCGTTGCGACCACTCCGACCTACATGAAGTCGGGAACTTTTGTCAGGGAGGACCTCTTACCTAAAGTACATCACTCAGTACTTCATGTATAAAAGGCTGAAGCACTCAAGTCCTGGTCACACGATGCCAGTTTTATCTAGAAATTACGTGTTTGTGTTGCTGAGCACACAGCATAAAACAGATTGCATATAAACAGACATATATTTGAAGCTGAAGAAAGGGTGCGTTGCTCCTGTGTGCTTGTAGCCATCACCATAAAAGAAAAGTACGAGTCGACGAAAAGAACAAAAACCCTCAACGTTAAGTTTGTCCAGTAGACACTGTAGGTAATTAGCAATAGAATCGTGCACCATAATTATCAGGCAAACGGTCACGCAAAGATGAGAGATTTGAGTTATTCATTAAAGCTAGGCATGTTTAGAACATTCCAGCAGGTTGGGAATGAGTTATAGTAGCTAAAAACTGCTCACTTAAGAAGCTAAACGATCTGGAGTACGCAAGTGATGCTATGCACTACAGTTCAAGTTAACAACTAGACATGACCAGAAATCCAACCGGTTCAGCTATCAGCATGCGTAATTCGAATATTGTGTCTTGAAATGAGCCTCGCAAAGCGAGCACTTCTCGAGTCCATTCGGCTTCACAGTAAGAAAACTAATTGCAGGCACTCACTGCTTTCCGTTAATGTAGGGTTGTACGTAGGCCCAACTCCATTCGGCACAAGTAAAGATCCCGTGGACGAGAGTGTGTCCGCCATTTTGGGTACTGCCTCAGTCTCACCGGTTAAACTGGATTCGTCAACGCGTAAGTCCACAGTTTCGATGAGGCGCATATCGGCCGGAATGCGATCACCCATTGAAAGGAAGACGACATCGCCGGGGACAAGCTCAGAAGCGAGGAAAGTGGATAGAACACCGTTCCGAACACTGCGGGAGAAAGTGTGGAAAAACGATAAGAAGGACTACGAAGATCTCCTGAAACGGTAAGCAAACGCTGTAAAAAGAGTACAACACATTAACTGTGCCAAAAATTGGCGGTCGTTTAAATGAAATTAATTCATACCGTAATACACAAATAGGGATTACTATGTTGTTATTGCCCGACTAAAGGGCTGCTCATATGCACACATTTTCTCAAGAATACAGTTTTCTGGTCTGGAAAATCCGTTTTGCCTTAGCTTCACGCACAGCTTACGTTATTTAGTAACTCCGGATCCGCGTCAATGACCAGTGGTGACCAGAATCTAATATTACACAAAGTTACATTCAAGTATAGTCATCTTAGGCTGTACAGCTGCGTAAATGTTGTACGGTGTTTATAGCTGCCATATTTTCATTCCCCGAAGACCTGGGGGATAGAGATGAGTAGCTACGCATTAGAGGCAGTAGCCGATATCGTTGACGCGGGAATCCAGCAGTGGCCTTGGACTGTTCATTGGAAAGATTAAGAGGGCAAGCTACACAGTGAAAACATTTGGGATGCATTCACATCATTGGTCGCACGACTGGACCATGTCTGACAGTGACTCTAACCATTCACAGGTCCCATCTCAGGGGCCCCATCCAAGAAGACTGGAACGACCAACGCATCTTTTGGTGGCAATGGCTTCCAAACTTCGCTGCCAATTCATTGACCGTTCCTGTTTCTTTTACACCTTCCACACGGTTGCGCGAAGGCTTTTCGAGGAAGTCGGTCGACTGGCACATGGAGCACGTGACCAAGCCAGTGCAGCCTATGGAGTGCGATCAGTTTTTCCGTTAGCCGTTCGACATAGTTCAGCATTCCTGAATCGATGTTCCCATTAAATTCTATCGATGCTCGCAATTCACTGATGACCAAACACCCAGCAAGTTTCAACGTTCTCAGCTCGCGGTTGCCAGGATTTTGACCTCTATAACAATATGGAGCGCACCGCAGCACAGTAAATTCGACACTAAACATGTAAGCTGATTATAAGCCCACGCCACGGTTGATTTAGGTTGATAAAAACAACTCCAACCTTTCAGACCCGGAATGAAACATCGTTGTCAGCCAAACGACAGGGACAGAAACAGCTACCTAGGTAAACCGATTTGTTTACTACCTCAGTCGACTCATCCGCAAGCTTAAGGTCCGGGTTTGATACCACCCAGTCTTGCAGTAGTATTATAAAAACGGCGGACGTGGAGTGCATACAAAACCATCAGGCAGAGTTGTTTGAATTATTTAGTATAGTTTGAATCACGATGTCATCACATCCAGGAAGGACTACATCGCTTTCGTCAGTGCTCCTTGTTTGACAGACCAGCCCGGATAAACCTGCATAAGCTAACAGGTACCGATTTTCGAGTCGTGGTACTAACCTAGATTAAGGTGGATAACCTAACAGCACAAAGATGGTTTACTGGAATCGTATCCAGCAAAGCGCACTCAGTGCTGAAGACGGGCGCAGCTCTCAAACCATATGTTCCTAAACTCACCGGGTAAACTGAAGGTGAAATTTTTAAAATCTGCGCTCGTTCTAATCAAACTGAGGTGCACAACCAAAGTGAGCTCTTGTATGTGCTTCGGGGACACAAAATACATCGAAGGGAACAGGAAGCGAGAGATGTTATCGCTTAAATTAACAGAGAGTACAGACGCTGAAGGTCAAATATCCTGAGGTAGCTGAGTATTTATTATGGTTTGCTTTGCTGGACGGTAAGTTGAACACGGGAAACTGCTTAGGAGACTAGCAGATGCAGTGACCGCAGTTGGACCATTTATTGCGCGGCAATGGGATGTGGACGAGGGGAAGCCGGTTAACGAATAGCTGCAAGGAGGGAGGACACACCCTAGTTGCCCAGGTTTAGGAAGAGGGTTTGTTTGAGGTACTTCGTTTTGAGCCTTTGACTCAAAGCCCCCACAATGAATTGGGTGATGGCAGGGTTTTGTTTGAGGTCCCTTACCTTGGCATCTGACACACAGACCTCAATCACGAGGCGGCTGTGGTTGAGGTTTTCTTGAGGCAACCCTCGGAGCCTGGCCGGTCGGACTGTATCGCACTGGCCTAACCCCAAGACGCAGAGTGATGTACTCACTCTCTCTCACTCTTGGTGCTACGGGGTGCATCAGACGCGCTTGGATCCGCAACGGAATCATCATATATCATTTGTTTCCCGACCTTATTCAATGATTCGCTGTCAGCCAGTCAACCGTTGGGTGGTCAAAGTCCGCACTTTTCTAGGGCCGATCTTTTCTAATCCGTCCTTGTTTAGGAGAAGCCAGAATCACTACCTCCATGAATATGGACAGACTGATCGCCTTGGGAAAACGCCTTCACGCTCCGATCGCGGCGGACAGGATGACCTTCAGGCCACCTCGTGTTGCGATTATTCGGAGTACGAGGGCTTGTAGTACTTTGTCTGGATGCTCCAATTCGGCCTTCTTGGCAAAGTTGAACCTTTTGGTGCGAAATTCCAGTCAGTGTAGCCGTGCGAAATTCCAGCCAGTGTGGCCCGCGGGATCATTGCAACACTTAAGTCCAACCAAGCGACAAGGTAGCAGCTCTTGGTCTGGTCAAATGCAGCCTCCATAGATTCAAATATAATAAACATACTCTCACGCGCGTTCGAGATCACCTCAAACCCTCAGTTCAACCCCAGCACCCAGCTTTTTTCTGTTAGTATTCAGTGCATTTAGTAAATGGTGCCGTGTGGTCTTGGAAAATATGCAGGATGAATAAAAGTAAGAAATCAAACGCTCAGAATCCACTTGAAGCATAAATGATTCGGGGTCCATGTCTTTGGCATTCCTTTAGGTTGGTGTGTTGGTGTGTAAACAAATGAAAATTCCTTCTTGAGCGATCGGATTGGAAATGGATGATTGTCTAGACACCTAGTCTGTAACTGGATGAGATACAATCATCAGTTTCATAGCAGACCCACCGAAACAATTCAACATGTGAAAGCTGATTACACAGGGTATTGGTTGATTTCTTCTATTCTTATTATGTATAGCGTGATTCTCCGTTTTTGTTTCGCTTTTGCGCCTATATCACCTTTCTTGTTTTTGGCCTGCACACATGCGATCAACGCATGGGCTTCGCTATCTTGTGGTCACCTTGCCTCAAGTCTGTGTGGACTTTGGGATCCCGTTGGGAGTTAGCAGTTCCTAAAATGATGTACAGAAGCCGACGCAGTTCCATCAAACATAATGAGGTGCCCTATTTGTGCATTGAAATCTCTCGATATTATGACCCCATCTCAACTATCCGTCGTGAACAGGAGGCATCTTTCGATTAACCAAAGCTAGTGGTGCATAATCTGAGAAGACAAACTAGAGCACTCAGTAGTTCCACCGACTGAAGTTTGTACAAAAGTGGAAAGTCGAGCGGCACAGAGTCGACGTCCGTGCGTACCTCGTTGAGTAGTGACGCCTCAGCTACCGAACTGAGGGCTACACCGACACAGGCAAGGCCCACTGGAGTAGCTTCAGCATTACTCGAAGTTAGCAGTCGATAACATCCAGCTAGAGATGGTACCGTAAGCCAACTACCGTACTCATATTTGTTATTCAAGTTCTAGGGAAGCAATGGACATCAATCAAAAAAGCAATCGGAATAGAAGGGCAATAGAGGCTTTTCTCATGCTAAACCTCAGAACAAAACAGAGAACGAGACTCAACTAGCAGAGACAGAGCATGTTCCTAGGTGCCTAACGGGGCGAAATGGCTCAAGTGGTTAGAGGGTTAATTTACAGCCAAGAAGGTTTGTGGTTCGAGTCCGACCTCTGCCTCTTGACTTCCCCTGTCTAGGCTTGGGCGACCTGGCAATATCCCAGCCCTCATGCCTCCTTCGTGCGGCGTGGCAGCTAGGCACCGAAATGATGCTAAAGATGAACGATTATTATAATTATATTATTAACCCTATGTGTCGATGCACGAGTTCAGGATATTTACTTGTTGGGGGTGCAATGTCCACCTTTACTAACTGAAACATGAGTGAGGATGAAAATGATCCTCTATAGATATCTAACCACATGAAAGGAATGGATGGTGAGAGTGAATGTGACTGTAAATTTAACCTCATGAACGCAGTCGGATGGCGCGAAGAGGCTATAGGTCACTTCTGAAAATTCACAGTTTCCACCTTATATAGTAACATAGGAAACTTAGCTGAGATGAAATGCAGATTTGGGTGAAACAGTTTGGGGAGCTTCCACGTCACCGAAGCGACTGAAGTTTTCCACATAATTCACAGTAAATTAGGACATTGGTCCATACCGATAATCAGATTTGCAGCCAGTGATAAAAGTCTGACGTAATCCGCGGAAGATCGCGAAACTTCGGAGCAATAACCAATGGTCAAATTAATTGCGCAAAGCACCGGTCGAAGGCAGCTTAAAACATGTCTTCATAATATTGACACCCAAAAAGTAACATACGGACAAACTGTTAAAGATGATCCTCAAGGACGCTAAGAACATTTAGGAATGATGCATTCAAGTTTGAAAAGAGGATAGCGGCCAATATTCAAAACTACTCACTATAGGATACCCCATAGCTCGAAACATACTTAATGGAAAAATTGAGCATACCAGTTACACTTTGGTGGCATCAGATTTTTCAACGCCTCCAACGCCTTCTCCGACCGATAGTTCTGAATAAATGCTACAGTCACCACGATACAAACAGCCTGGAGCATTGAAAGTATCAGCATGTCAACAAAGAGCACTACTCACCGCTGTGATACTAACGGTGTCGTCATACTGTTGCATCAAGAAACTGACAGCAGCTGAGATCAAAAGAAGCAATATCATGGGCTCTTTGAACTGTTCCAAATAACGTTTGACGAGGGAGTCGGAGGACTTATGATCAAAAGAATTTGGCCCCGCAACATTCCGCCGTAGTCTCACTTCCTTCTCATCAAGACCCATGGTTAAATTTACCTGTCAAAATGATAGACGGATTCACAACCGCGCGGCCGACTTACCTGAAGCAATTGACAAAGTTCACCGACACTGGTGACGGCCGCTTTGCGGGCACAGAGATGATAATCGGTATTGTGCGGAGTTGAACGCATGATGTGCTATCGCATAAAGTCCCACTAAGAACGAATCCTCAACGGGCGCATCACCAACAGGGATTTTATTACACACAAGGACAAATGCATGTATGGTACCGTGTTACAAATCGCCTCTAACCGGTACGGAAAGGCAAAATGGCTGAAATTTATTTTTAAGATAAGGTAACGCTGTGTAGTGCTTGTGCGAAAAGTTGAATTACATGCCAATTCGTCCCCAGGAAAAGGTCTACATACAGCGGGGGGTTAAGTAGGCTAGAGCCTCCAAATAGGGTGGGAACGCTTTCGCTCCAGGCAAGACAGGACCAGTCGAGGTGCAGGGGTTGGGTTCGAAGCATAAAATTTCGCCTACCTAAGTTAACACAATATTGTTGAGCTGTTACTGCGAGTAATAAGCTTGTATTGCGACTAACCGAAGAGCCACTAACGGAGAGGGACTAGAAGAGAAAAATCAGGAAAATGATTAGGAGTACCGGATGTAATTACACAGCGTGCGACCGCAACATACGGCAGGTCGGCCAGTTTATGGATGAAACTCTGTCGCTACTTGTGACATTGTAAAAGGTCAGGAAGTTCCTCCAATTGGGTGTTCCGTAAATGAACGGTGCGTGAGCCACTCTGCAGGTTGAGGGCGATTACAGCGGTTACTGATCATTGGATTCCAAAACTGCAATGATTCAACGAGTACGACGGCGGAATGAACGGTGAGCCACTCTGCAGGTTGAGGGCGATTACAGCGGTTACTGATCACTGGATTCCAAAACTGCAATGATTCAACGAGTACGAACGACCACGCAAATCCTTCAAACGCCAAATAGTGAAGAGTCTAAGGAAGGACCCAGAGCTCTGGTGGATATCGAAAGCTCGGGAGATGGAGAAGACTTTTGCTACGGGAAACAGCCGTGCCCTTTATCAAATGATACGATCGACTGGCCCT